AGTATCTGCGTTTTCATCTCACTGTCTTCTGCTTCCTCGAAGAAGGAGCCAATAGCCTGACCCAAATTAATAAGGGATACCCCTAATAAATCTTGATTTTCCGCTAGAAACTTGTCCCGCGTCTCAGCTGTATTATTCATTAATGATGACATAACCTCGTTCAAACTAGGGATTTCTAACTTGCAATAGCCCTATCGAGGGAGCTTCTTTAGTAACTCAGCTTTACCTTTTCTCTCTAAGCCGGCTTCAATCAATTTCGACCAAACTTTAAGGATATCTGGCTGCAGCTTATAGGCACCCTTTACCTCTTTGCAGTTGGGTGTACCTAACAAAGCACTCATGGAGGACTGCTTTGGTGCTTTCAAGATGGCTGCCTCCGGCGCCTCTAATAGCTCGGCCTCATTATTCGATGACTCGGCATTTTCTTTATTCTCAACAACAGTTTCAGTATCAACTTTGTTGTTAATAATCACCTCGTCATCAGATCCCGACACAACTGATTCTAAAAATACAATCAGAGATCTAGTTAGAATTGCTATCCTCTTTGATGCCAATTATTCTTACTAGTCAAATGTAAAGTCCTCTCCTATTACAGGATGAAGAGACTGCCAAGAACCAGTAACGAATACTGTATTTAATAAGACAAACATTTCTTATTTATTTCTTTGTATCCTACCTGATTCTGATGATGCGTCATATGCCAATTCTAGGTTCAATATTTCTGATGTTGAATTAGCTTACGCTGTAACTTTTCAGTCTCCGACGTACTTAACTTTTAGTTCAGTTCCATTTAGGCATCTTGAAAACAAACAAATCTTCAAAAAAGGAAGAAAAAAATGTGTATTTTTCGCTAAACAAATAACCTGAAATCAAAGAAAATACGAAACGTGGTTCACACAACGAGCACAGAAAAAATTATAAGGAAATGACGTCCAAGGTATAGTCTATGGGCCATTTTTGAATACATACTGTGGTAACACAACGGCCAGTGACAGTACTACATAGTGATCTCGAAAGCGAGACACGAATTATAATTAACTAGTGACCCGCCCCAGCTTCGCACGGGTGCAATGCTGATACTAAATATATATTTGTTTTGTTTAGATTATTATCTAAAGGGGAAATCTTCAAAAGATGAACCCTGAACATACTAAATATACTACAGAATGTCTTTATATACAACATTCACGGTTCTTTTTGTCATTAGATAATACAAACCGGCCGGCCTCCCGGCCGGTACTGCCTCAACCGCTATGTCACTGCATTTTAAATCATTATTATTTAAATTAAATGCTGTAAAGGGCCATATTGATTTATATTAAATGCACAGTGTATTTAAGGTACTTTATTGGATAAGAATTAATGCTATATTTTCCTACAATCGCTTCGTAAATAAGTCATAATTTCTCATAAAAAATAATGGATAAAAATGGTTATTGTGGGTTATCCCTAAGAGATAGACATATACCATCCCAGACTTTTTTGTAGACCCTTTTAAGATGTACAATATTGTAGTACATTATTTTGATCTATCTCGTAGGGTTCAGCCAGCGTTTGCAATGTAAGCGCAAAAAATGTGTTTATTTACGACATCACATTAGAAACCTCTAAAATTATCAGTGTTTCNTAGGGTTAATACCTGGTTGTGAAGGGGGTAAAACTTCCGAATCGCGGCTTTTTCGAAAATGCAACTTTTTTTTGCTGGAAATGACGTAAAATGGCCTCATTATGAACCAAATTTCTATATGTAAACATTTATTTTATTGCAGGCTTCAGAAACAAAACGGAGACCAAGGAAGGGTTATTCTCGCAAGATCTGAACGATGTAGATTGTTTGCGACATTTTGTTCTCTTTATTAGCTTGTTTACTTTAAATAAAAAAATCTATTTTAGTATGCTTGTTAAATTATTAGTGTTATAAGGTCTTTATGATGACATGTCTTATGCCCCAGTGATTAACAAGAGTCATAATCAAGCAGAGTCGTGTTTTACTAAAATAACCTAGAACACGTGCTTATATTTGTATCTCGTTCTGTTCTTGTTTTTAATAAAACTATTACATATAAAACGCTTATTGTTTTAATGTTCAAAACACGGTGACAGGTATATAATCCGTAAGTAAGCTCGTTTAAAATAGAATTTAAATCTCCGGAAAACTTAAATATAAATGAATCTACTTAGTGGCAAAAGTAGAAACAAAAATTTTACATATTTCTGCTGGCAAGTGATAAAACTGAAGCCTGCGAGGAAACAAAAATTGCTGTATATATGAACGTAATTGGAGATGTTGAACTAATTTATAGTACCCTAGAAGAAAACAAAAAGAGAATTCTGGATAATGTTAAAAGAACCTTACCTTTGATGATTGTTTCATCCTGAAGAAAAATATGACAATAGAGACGTTTAAATTTAATAATATTGTTCGGTTGCCTGAACAAAATATAGATTTTTATTTAACAAAATTAAAAACTCAAGTAGCTTTTTTAATTTTAAGTGCACAAATGAATCGTGTGCAGACCTTTCATGAAACCAGTGATTTGAGACATACTGATACTAAGAATTTTTGACAACAAAATAATAGGGTTCCGTGAATCTATTGAAACCAGTAAAGAACACATAAAACCTCTCAGGTCGAATGAAACTTCAGTACAGGGGCACAAATCACCTTTAAGTTGGATAGTAGAACAGAACTCATTTATTATGGCGAATTCGTTTCGGCATTTACACAATTATTAAAAGTATAATAGTAAATTTGTAGAACACAATTTATGTTTAGATATTAAAGTTAAATGTCTACGAGGTGGATTTTAAAAGGGGGTGATAAAGAGTAATCAGTTTGGTCAATTGTAACTAAGCAATTCTCCTTTATCGCTCTTGATATTTCTAGGCTTTATAAAATGTTTTTTAACTTTAACTTTTGTTAATATCATATAACAGTTTGAATTTTCTTAACATTTAAATTATTACCACATGTATGTCGGCAACCTAACATACGTGGCGACAAAGAAGACTAGGTTTCTAGACGACTAGCATTGCTGTCGCGAGATCGAGTGAGTAGTATGAGTACGAGTTCGACGCGATATACAAGGCGAAGAAGAAAGACCGAAGAAATGACAAATCGTTCATATAGTGGTGAATTGATAAGTAATTATTAATAAATGTGTTAATAAGACAGCGATTAGTTAAATAAAGGTAGTAAAAGTGCGAGAAGGTGTTTCAATACGTGATATTATAGTTGTTAGTGATGCAATACTCTGAAAAACCTGCATTATTACCATTTTGTAAGATGGACCATCTCCGCTCATTTAGTTTACATTTTAAGGTTGTGCCATTGGCCAGAGTGACATTTGGCCTATTTTAATCCTAGCGGTCATTGTGCTTGAAAATTATTAAAATTATGTACTCTAGTTCCATACAAACGCTGTTTTTACAACCCTATACAATTGACCACATACATACAAGCCTATAATGATAAAGGAACATACAACTACCCTATATAACATAACCATCATAAATCACACTTAATCTAATCTAACAAATAACAAATACTGCATTAGTCAAGAATGCAAAACAGATACTACACGGATTCTGTCAATTTTCTCATTTTATAAAGTTCTACCACCTCCTGCAAACTTGCTCCTTTTTACAGAAACACATTGTAACTGTCACAATACTCAACAATAAAACATGAAAAATGCGATAGATAAATCAATGGACGCCGATACTAATGTAATATATGCTGTAAGGCAACTCTCGACCCGGAAAGAGAAGCCATTTTTTTACACCAACTTGAATAACCGTAAGCACATCACTAGGAAATGTACTGATGACAGAAGGTAACGACAGAAACAGTGGTTCAGGTCCTTGAAAAGTACAATCAGCGGCCGAGCGTGGATAGAGGTAGATTTGAAGTTTTATTCAGTGCACTCTCCGTTAAATGATTAAATATCTTATAATACACAGTGCTGTTCACGAAGCATTTGCCCTCATTGACGACCATTGTAGCGGGATCATTCGCAGCGACGGAGTTTGCTGAATATTACAAGTCTCCGGTAAGGGACGTGTCTATAGCTTTAGGACTAGTAGAGGTGATTGGAAACAGGAAGGTTTATTGTACTGTTTGTCTGAATTCAATACGCCAAGCGTTCTTGTGGTGGTGGTTAAGGTGTCTATGTGTATGATGTTACGGCCGGAAAAACGAACCACAAGAGAAAGAGTGGGTTTATTCTATTCTTGGGTGGGGATAGAATCAAGGTTCTATCTCTCCTTGATCTGTGTTTGGATCTTTTCGGATATGATTTAATTAATTGGTATTCCGTATAGGTTTTTTTGGCTAAAGGATTCACTAGGAACGCCTGTGATGAGGACTGTTAAAATAGGAAATCGATTTTGGGTTTTGGCGGATAGGGATGTCGAATTAGGGATTGACAAAAAGAAGAATGATGAAATGAATGTAAGTTTTATAGCCTGGAAAGGTTGCTTGTTGGAAAAGAAAGGTCCGGCAATTTTTTGAGTGGAAGGGGTGCCTTTTAAAATTCGCCACACTGTTGCATGGGAGGAGCCAAGGTTCCACGTTCTTTTCGGGTGTACTACTTTGGGGGTGAAATGATACAATGATACAAACAAGCCTACAAGATTAATAGAACAGAGAGTTACCACAACCTGTCTGTAACAGAAATATCGTCAGTCACACTTAATCTGATGTAAAAATGACAAACAATGCATGAGCATAATAATACAGAAGAACTACAATACGGATACTGCTAATTACTGGCTGATTGAATACCAGGGCCGAACCGGACCTTGCTTATACTTTCTAATACGTTTCCTTGAAAAATTGTGAATTTTCAGACCATCAAACTCTTACTTAATTTTCTTGTTTGATAGTGCTCTATAATCCTAACTTGCTATTTATTTTAGTATTTTTTGAACAAATAATTACTTATTCAATCAGTTAAATAAGTATAGTACTTAGATCATTCGTTCCTCTGCCATTCTAGGTGCGACGGACGTGCGGCAATCGTATGGTAGAAGAAGGAGAGGAATGTGACTGTGGAACAATAGACGAGTGTCCTACTGTTGATCCCTGTTGCGATCCTATCACCTGCAAATTAACCACGGAAGCAGAATGCGCTTCCGGACCGTGCTGTGATACATGTAAGCTGAAAGAGAGGGGTGTTTTGTGTAGGGATGCAAAAACCGAATGTGATCTACCGGAACATTGCACTGGAGAATCAGGGGATTGTCCAATAGATGTACATAAGAAAAACGGAAATCCGTGCGGGGACAATACAGGGTAATTTTATAACTAATTAAACTCAATTTTATTCCAATTTCTTTTAATGACAAAGCATCCTACGTGGAGATGGGCCGGGTACCCGGGTTGGATATGGAACCCGACGGATCCGGTTCTATTTTTAGGATCTAGCGTGATACCAGCTGATATCGCTTGGTATCCGACAATGCCGAATACTTCTACCAGAGGAAAAAAAACCAACACCTACAATAATAATTTCATTAGTATGACAAAAAAATCTGAGTAGTGAAAATTGGTAATTAAGATTGTATTATTTCTTATTTCAATGTAGATAGTTCCTGTGTTTAGTTTTTCTCGTGAACTCTTACAGTTTCTGTCGCTTAGTAAAATTTCATTGATTTGGTGCTTAAAAGACTTTTTAAATGAGACTTGATAAATAGTTTGAGACGTTGATAAGGTTTATATTTAATAGAAAGCTCACCAGAACGAAGACGTTAACCATAACCGTAGTAGTTGTACCGGGTACCTGGTGCGATTAGAAGTACAACGTGAAACCGTATCTCCCAATATTCAGTAATGCTTCCGATGTAAATATATACGTATAATTTGCCTTAGTTGAACATGCTACTTATATATCAGTTTAAATATGTACGTGCTGAATACGTAGATTTTTTTAAATATTTCCATCCAATGACAGGTTTTGCTTTAATGGCGTCTGTCCAACATTGGCGATCCAATGTGAACAAATTTGGGGCTATAGTTCCGAAGCTTCCGATTTACATTGTTTCCGAGAATTCAACACGAAAGGGGCAGCAGACGGGCATTGTGGTAAAAGTGCAAACGGAAATTTTATTAGATGTTCTCCCGAGAACGTGTTATGTGGGTCACTACAGTGTCAAAACGGAAACAGGCATCCTATCATCAAGGAACTCAAGCAAACGTATTTTCAAACGGTAGCTACGTATAAAGGAAAGGAATTCGAATGCAAGTAAGCACATTCTTGTTCTTATATTAAAAAAAAAAGAAATTTTAATGCCAGCAAAGGATGATATTTATTTTTAATTTGGCAAACCAGGTACTAGAAACCAATACAGAGATGACTTAAATAAAAATAATCCGAGTTAGCTAAATAATATAACAGTTTGCAAAAAATACATCCGATAACAGTAACTTTGGATAACAACATTTCACGATATATATAACGTATCTGTTGCTTGGCAGTAATAAAATCCGTTCTTCATATGAAAACTTAAAATTTTAATTATTAGATAAAACGAAAAATTCTGGGTTGTGAAACAAAAAATTAATTTTACCATTACTTTGTGGCAATTTCTGTTAATGAATTTCCGAAATTTACAAAAGAAAGGCAAACAGTAAAAATAGGAGGTCGTTAATTTGTCTTCACCTAAATAAACAAAGTAAAATGTAGGTTCCTTCAAAAATAATGTTTGATGTTATGGCATGTGGTGATTCACAGCTGTCAAATCGTAACTGCTTCAGATGAATCAAACTAAATAAGAATTAAGAGTTCCTATAAAAATTAGGAAATAATTTTCTTATTTATTCTCTTCAATCAAATAAGACTAAGACAAAGGCGTTTGCTTTTCTTTAAGAACAATCAGCGGAATCGTAAAAGAAAGTGACCTTCCTCCATTTGGTTTAGTACGGGACGGGACGCCGTGTGGTGAAAACCTTATTTGCCTTAATCAAACTTGCTCCAGCATCTTTCCACATCTCGATCAAAATAAGTGCCCTAGTAATCATAAAAATTTAGAGTGTTCAGGACATGGGGTAAGTAATTTATCTCTGTACTCTCAATTGGCTGTATATACCTGCAACGACAATTTTTCATTATAATTTGTGATTGAACCGGTGAGGTTCCGTTCTCCATATTGTTTACACTGTTGCTTTAGTGCATAAGTACACGATCAGTTGAGAGCTGATAATTGTTGTTGGTATTAAAGTCAAGTTTATTGTAAATGTCTTACAAATAATTCTTACTTAAAGTTTATACGAAAAGGAAGTAGATAAAATTATTTAATTATATATACCTAATTCAGTTGTTGGTGCCCTCTGTACCATAATATTCAAGTTGAGCAGAAATGATCGCGTTGGCTAGAAAGGGAATTCCGTGTAATAATGGTATATAAAATCTTAATATAGATAATGAATAACTGATTGGCGTACAAACAGAAGAACTAATTACTAATGTCGGTGTCAACAGTTATTCGGATAACGAGAGAGAAGGTGAAAACTAATTTCAAAGTAAACGAAAGTGTTAGGTTAATTTTTTTGTAAGATCTGTTTCTATATTCCTTTCTGGTCCTGTGTTATCTGTATTTGAACAATAGTCTTATGAAAGCTATTTTTGTATCAGTTCAGAGTGATTTACCCTAATGGACCAAAATGGGCTATATAAAGTACTTGCGCTACTGCTCACCAACTGCGTTCTTCCGAGCTTACAGAAATTTATATATTAAGGCACAATAAAAATTACACAATTAATAAAAGAAAAATAAGCAATTATGTTACTTTTATTATGGTTTTTCCTTATCATTAGCATTGCACCAACATGAACAAGTGCTACTGTGAAGATGGATGGAGTGGACCTGATTGTTCTATTCAGGTAGAAGTAGATATGATGGAACATCAACATACAACGCCTCATCCAGACCGACCAAAACCGATAGGAAATTTGGCGGATATAATGAAAAAGAAGGAGACACCCTACGGTAAGTGACTCCTACAAGTTCATTTATCATGGTTTACTTTCTGCGACTAAATTCGTATTCGTAGAAACTTTCTATTGTGATTTGTTAACACATATGCGTTAGACTGAATTCCTATTTAAGATGAAAAATTACGATGCATATATTACCAATGTAAAGATATACGAATAACTAAAGAGATGTAACAACAGCTTATTTCTTATTATTTGTGTCCTAGTATACATGCAAAACAGTTATGTAATCAGAGATTTTTTTTATAGAAAAGTCAGCTGTATACCGAACTCGTCAATTCATTATGTTCTTAATTATTACGTAACATTTCCAATATTAAAAAATCCTCATAACAGATAAAGTCAGATTAAATCATAAAGTTATTAGACGTCCTGTAACCCTGTTAAATGGATTACTTTTGTTTACCACTCATAACATACATTAACATATGTAACAACTACTAGAATTACAAAGTTTAATAAGTGACCCCACGCCGATGCTTATTTACCCCAATATATAACAGATAGATATTCTGTGAATTGCTTATGTAGTTATATAACAAGACCATTTCACTATTCCATGCGGTCTTGTATTACTCTTAAATTAGATAATTTGCATGTTAAGAAAGAAAAGAGACGATGAAAGATGAGCTTAAATGAAAACAAAAACAAAGTCAACCATAATTTGACCTAATCTGTCAATCATACATTTTCGAACGATTTTAGGGAGTGACAGATTTTCATACGGTTGAAGTTACGCACAAGTCAATGTTGTATCTCGCGATAGAAGGAGAACTATGTGATATTTGTTTAAAGAGTATACATGAAGGGAAATAGGTCACTTCAATTTAATAAGTACTTTGTTTAACAATATTCTTGGCGATGCATCTGAAGTTATTCTCCTGTTTTTGATATACTGATAATCAACAATTGATGGTTAAACTACACTCTGTTCACTTTTCATATAGATCATACCAAAACAAACGTGAACGTATGAGCATCGAGTAAAACATGGACAGTGCAGTATTTATTGGTTGATCCGAATATGCTCATGTCTACCGAAATATTCAGTCTTTGCATGCATCTTAATATGTCTTCTCATGATTTTATGCAAAGAATTTAAAACATATATAACACCTTAATTGATCTTATCTCCGTCGATGCCCTATTCGATAACTAGAATTATTTCGTAATTAAAATTATATAAATGTTCTGTTGAAATCTAAAATTAGTTCAATAGCCAGTAGATTTCAGCTAATACTGCGGTTTGAAACTCTTTTTGCTTCTTATATCAGCCTCGTAAAATACTGACATCATTCACTGGGTTATTAGACTCATTTCTGAATTTTTGTTACGTCCTGTTTCTTCTTTTTAAGAAAATACCACTTAGGTCAGGATGACTTAATCATTACTTAATACTACATTTAGGTTGGATGTATTACAACGATTTTCTCAACAACCCCAATTTCTGCTCACTTAATGAGTTTCTACTGTATACTACCCCAACTATCAACTCTTAACCAATTAGTTCCGCAATTAATTTTTCTTATTTTTTCAAAATTTTTTTATTGTTTTGAAAGTAGGCATTAATTACCCCGTTAAAAAGTTTCATCAGTTGGAGCTTGAAGAAATCACTGATACCATATTATATGCGTAGGCGTGAGGGAACATTTCTGGTACAGAGTTTCAGAAAGTAGACATGATAGTACTCTTTTCTTAAATATGTGAGACCTATATTTATTTAGCATTAAGACAAAGCAGCTAATACATTGGTCAACGTCGCATTTCTAGCACTTTGTTCTTCCAAAAGAATTGCGTTCTGAATCAGTACATCATCGTCTGTTGAACGTGACCACAAAATCGTCCATCATTCGAATTGTTGCAAGTAAATTCCGCGAGAGAGTAATCCGTCCATATACCTTTGCAGATGTATTTTATTTTGTTAAATATATTTAAACGATTTCTCGTTTGAAATTCAATGCTGGTAGTCTTTCATTTTCAATGCTTACTACAGTTTGTCCGCATTCTCCACAAATCTTTTTCTAAACTCTTGGTTTTCAATTAGTATTACGTTATTCTGTTTTCTCAAGTTGTGTCAATTGCCTCATAGCCTAATGTTTAAAGGTAAGCCGACAAGTTTATACCGGCTAACAAGTTATCAACATGGATAAAATACGCCATATTTGATGTTCGTAATTCTTGTTGTATCAAAGCCATGGTGCTGAGTTATTGCTCTGGCTTAGATCAAAATTCACTAGATATCTATCTTTTGGGCTTAAGAGCCAAATATTTTAACAACATCCGTAGCGTCCGTAGTATCCACTTAATTTTTATCTTTTTCATAGAATCTGCTACCATTTTGTTGTGGGTGCCGTTTTTTATATCTCAATGGCAAATTATTGTAATCACTGAGACTAAGGTTTCCGATAAAGCAACTGATTTGGGAGCACTAGTTGTGTTTTCTGAGCAAGGGACTTAAAAATACTTTTGCCAACAGGCGACACGTCCCTGTACAGAGAGTAGTCTGCTTCTACAAATTGTCGGGGCATCGGTTGAATAACACCAGGAATTCACTTAAGAACTGCGTTTTCAGGCAGATGATTGGTATTCCCCTCCCAATGTTTTTTTTTAGTCAAACAGCACATTTTTCTTAGTTATCAAAGGTACCTCTTTTACAGGCCCTGCCGAAGGCTTCTGAGAAGGAGTAAATAAAATTTTTACATTGCTTAATAATCTTAATTCAGTGAGAGCACTGAACGACGACCTGCAATATGTCAGAAATAATAAACCATTAATGTAAACTTATATAAATTTATTTTACCATCAAAATTGTGAATAATTCCCCCTTCGTCCTGGTTTCTGCGTTCTGCAGTAATTCGTCATTTTTCGCTAGCTTGGGAAAGCGAAAGACCTTCTTCAAAATGTTTCAAATTACATAACTACAAAATACACTGATACGCCACTCTTGAATCCCAAAACGCCTACGGATGCCATATTGTATCAGTTAATTTTAACCCAATATAATGCACCCCCAGTAGGCTTCCATAATTTTATTTATTGGTGGGGATATATATAAAAATGTGTACATTACCGTAAAAGTATCCTCATGTATTAGGTTAGGTTAGGTTGTATAGGTTGAATAGGTTTTTCCTCATTATTTCCATAAAATTTCCTTAACAAATCAAATTCAAATACCTTTCCAGCAGCGAAAACTCACACTCCAAACGGTTAGCATTCAAAGCCTTGGCAAAATCGTATATGCCAATTGTCATATGGTATTGTATATAAACAGTCTATCTCGCATTTACCCAAACGTACTGCCTTATATTCGCCTATTTACAATTTCATCTTGTTTAAGTTACTAGAAATTAAGGAAATTATAACTGCTTAATAAAAATTGGCATTTATAAGGGGTCACTATACCGCCACTATAAATTAAAGTTAACCACATAATGATGCAATTAATACCTACTAAGTACATAATAGTACAGGGAAAGTAGTGGCTGAGAGAGATGAATTTGAGTCGATACTTGCATACTGAATTTCATACTAGTAATAATAACTCAAGTGCCTACCAAATGTCGTACCAGCGCCGATAAGCATCAGATAGTTTTGCTGACAGTAGTAACTGGTCTGTCTTTTCCTATATACACTTCTACATTATTTAACATCCATTTGCAGCATCGGTATACGCGAATTGTGAGAAGTCCGTGTGAGATATACATTTCATTTTTAATTTTATTATACCAAAGATATATATATATATATATTTTACCAAATCGGAATAAAAGCATACGAATTGAATTCAGGGTAAAATTCTCGCAGGAGACAACAACACGGACAATCTTAGCACACTGACGATGGTATTTATCTTAGTGGGTGTGGTCAAAGGCGTCTTCATTTGTTTTGCAGTCGTGGCCGTTTGCTACAGGTATTGGTCTGCCACAATGATCCTGATTCGAAAGCAAAGACTGCTTGTTGCACAGCCTGTATATAGGCCTCGTCGATATATTGGTGTTGTGATTTTTATTAAAGCCTTTACTGATATCTTGCAAGTCAACTGCTACTGTAAAAATGTTAACTGTGTACCACGTACTTCACTATTGTCTTTTTATGACTACACAAGTTGAAGGACTATATTCTTCACGTCTTTTAATAATTCACAAATTATATTAAGGCTACAAATCACGCCCGCTAAATCACAGGGTGTTTCTGAGATAAGTGGCAACTTTTGGAGGGTGCTCACTAGATGTAATACAGAATCGCATGGTGAGTAAGGGACAAAAAAAATGGTAAGAGAACCAGAGGAAGTTACAATTTAAAGCCAGTCCTGGGCGTTAATTGGCAATACAGTTATTAGTAAAGCGAATTGCAATAACAACTAAGCAACAACACGGATGAAAAACGTAAATATCAACAACTTACTACTGCACACAATAATATTTTTACGGTCATTACAACAAAAATAATAAAATGAGCAACTTTATTCAACGCTGCTAGTTCGCAGCACTATTAAAATGCACGTCCAATTGGTATCAAGAACACAAAACAAAAATCAAATAAATGTTACATAAACATTGATAAGTAAATTAATAACTTCTAAATAGGTAATTCTAATAATTGTATTAACTATTAGGCAGATATACCTATTTGCTATGAGTAGTTTGCCAATAACCCTGTCTGTCTATTAGAAAAAAATTAATGACAACATCCATAGCCTCATACACAAATACGTAAGTTCTAGAGTAAAAGTTATTACTGGTTTCCTTTGATCTCGGTATCGTATTTGAGACAATTTATCGGTGAAGAAATCTTCCCTCGGGATATCGATGACCGTAAAATTGGACCGTTATACTTGCATTAGGTACTTGTAAATGCCGTTATAACAACTATGTACTTTTTTACACTGACCTATCCTACCTAATTCTAAGCAGATCGTCTAACTACATACATACAAGTCTATAACACTAAAAAAACAAAGAACTAACTATTAGGTTTGTTGTAACACAAATATCGTCAATTGGACATAGTCTAATCTAACAAACAACAAACAGTTGAGTTGACAAAATTACAGATGAAAAATACAACACGAATGCTACTAAGCACCTGCTGATTGAATACGACGTTTCGTTCCAGGACCGGAATTACATTTGCCTGTTACTATGAACTACGTTTTTCTCGTAAATGGTAAAATTTCGGACATATAAACATTTACTCAATTTTCTTGTTTTATTGTGATCTATTGCCTCCTACTAGGTTGCTACTTATATCAGGAACACCTTGCGTAGTCGCTTCAGTTTAATTTTGCTGGTTTTGGATTATAGTCAAAATTGTAAATCTTTTACTTTATTTGTTACTGGAATAATAAATCTATCAGCCTTTATACCTACCACAAGGAAGAGAAAGGTACCCTTATCTTTGTCAGCCAGTCGTAGGGAACAAATACTGCTGGAATAGTATTTTATAAAATTTGTGCATATTTCTCTTTCTTTGAAAAGTTTGTAGGACTTCTCTGTCTTTTATTACTATACTGCCAACTGTTTGGTAAATCTTAAATAAAGCACAATGACGTCGATAAATTACACTTACATATTTAATGTAATTATTAAAGAAGGATTCGAAACTAATTACAATGTACATCATCCAATAAAAAAATTAAAAAAGAACAGAAGTTTCTATTGCGGTAGTTTAATTAATTTTATGACACTAATAAGCAATAAAACCTCGTCGAATCCGAAAAAGTGCTTGTTATTCCACGAAACGTGGATATTCTTTGGAGAAAAATTCTTAGATAAAACTTCTGTTTGAGTGTGAACCCCTTACAATAGAAACTACTGACGACTCAACGGATTCTGAAGAATATGAGTAATAAACTTTATATTTGTTTGTATTTTTCATACTTATTTTCATAATTAACTTCCAAAATTGTCATATATTGCACTCTTTCTTTTGACTTTTGCGCTATGGACATTGTAATAATGTTATTTAAATACATATTGAAAAAAAGTGGTTTTATTCACTTTTCTAAAAATCATATTAAATATGTGAATAAAACTTTTGAAAGCCACTGTAACTTATTCAAGAAGAAGAAGCAGTTGGTGGTATATTAATACAAGGGAGACACACTTCATAAACTGTTTAAATACAGACAAATTTTATAAAGTAATAAATAATAAAGTAACTTATTTACAATTTTGACGTTATACTTTAAAACCGACAAAATTAAACCAAAGCGACTATAGATGTGGCAGACAACACCTTTTCAGAGCGAATCGTATAAAACCAAGCAAAGAGGAGGGCAAATCAGCAAGCCGTAGAAAATTATTTTTTGAAACTGCGTTGTATTCAAAATTAATTGCAAAAATTGTTATTCTGGGTTTGAATTACGTTCCAATAGCCTTTGTTACATTCATGTTCTCATAGAAGATACAAGTAGACTTCCTAATCTAAATTATTTATGTGGAACACTATTGCCGTTGGACTTAAAAGATGGAAGTTTAAAGGCTTCATATGTCTTGTAAATGATTGGATCTGATGTTAGCTTTCCTTCTGTCTCTCTCTGTATGTCGTGTCCATGCATGATGGTATCGTCGACCTGCGTGATGTTGACCTGGTGACCAACCTACTGTGCCACTGTCAACATCGTCTTTCGCGGTGCAGAGGATTATCACGGGTCGAACACGATATTTCTCGTGGGTACTCTCATGTCGGTGGTGGGGGGCGTATTCATAGTGTTCACTTCGGCTGCACTATGCTACAGGTCAGTCGTAGTACACAAAAACTTCTCGCTCTGCCTCAGGTTAGTTGGGCTGAACCAAAACCAGGTAGTGTTCCATCCAAAATCTCTCTATCTCTCTCTCTTTCTCTCTCTCTGTCTCTCTCTCTCTTACTCACTTTCTGTCTTTCTCTCTCTCAAGCATCTGCTATATCTCTCTTGCTTTTATTTATGGTATGGCATTTATTATTTATTAACGAATTGGATACCGCAAAATCTTAAGAATAAGCCAGGTGAAAAAATTAGGTACTATCAAAAAAAAAAATAATAAAATTATTAAGCAACGTTTTTGACGTGTGTGTCGTGTATTCTAAAACAATTTTCAGTTAAACAAATATACTATCACTAAGTAACTTTCAATTAGAAAGGTGAGAAATAGACTTCAAATATGTATAGGCTAATGCAAATAAGAAATATATCTTAGAAATAACGTAACCCTTTCAAACTTATATTCAATCCATAATTGACCTGGTTAAAGTACCTCTAAGTTAGATACACTCACATCTAATTATTGGAATTTATTATTTAGAACTAAATAATATACNTATATATGTATAATATTAATTTGCACTGCTAGATGTTAACTATACACAAAATAAAACAGAAACACTGCTAACATTTGAAAATGAGAGAAACAGGTGCGATCTTCAACAGGAATTATATTATTTCATTTCATACTTACCAGTAGTTGTAAAAATGTATATTAAATTATTAAAAGCATCTTTTCACTCCGTCCCCCATCCACCAAACATTGAATTGAATACAACATTAGCGTAACACTTTTTGAAGTAACATAACCTGAGGCTAGTGCTTTTTGTTTCATATTTTAAAGATGCAGAAGAACAAATATTTTTGTAGCCTTTATAAAAAAATATTTTTTCTGCAGTTACACTTGACTAACTTGTTGCACGAGATTGCTACTAAGTTATTTCCCCACTTGGTAACAAAGCAATCGAAATGCATCATTTACTAATTGCAAAACGTAAAACCTTTAAAACAGAAAAACAAATCGTTGGGTTTTTATTACTTTCCGGTAATTGTTGGGTATAAAATATAATATAAAAATAAAATTAAAATTGGTACTTTGGAAATATTATTTAAATAAATAAGTACAACCGAATTGTTTTTAGCTACTTTTTTAATGTAACTATGGTAGGTTAGGTTGTTCTATGCACAGTCATGGGTGTTTACATGTATAATGTAACAGAGTAGTAAGAGTCATATAAATAAGTAGAGGCAGTGTGTCTACATCATCTACAGAAAATTGCTACTTATTGCTGGATTAAGTAACTGGCCACCAGGAAATATTTATTTTGCTTAATTAGAGCCTTGGTTTAATAAAAATCATAGAATTTTGTCTATACATGGGGTGTTTATAAAGTTGTTCTTCTACATCTGCATGTAATAATATAAGTACCAACTTACCCTAGGTTGTTGTATTTCTTTAGAAGTAGGTTATGTTGCATCAAAATAAGTAGATGCAAGGCACATGCTATCTGTAAAAAGGCTTTAAAGTAGTTAATCTGCACGTATTGTGATGAATTTGAATTTATACATTTGTACATGTGTATTTTTGTTTTTGTGGTATACGTAAATTTCTAACTTTATGCTTAACAAAGAATGAGTGCCGAATGGGTGATTCCCCATTTCTTAAAAAGTAAACTATTTTGCTACCTAGTTCCACTTCCTGACATTTTTGTTATACAATTCAATATAAATAAAAATGGTCAATAATTTAGCTACTCGTTAAAATAACTTGATTCATCTTCTTTACTACAGTCAAGCTTTTCATAAATAAATAAATTACGTACACCATTTGTATACAGAGTATTCAAAATGTTTTTAATTGTTTTGTTTTCATAAAATGTCAGACATCTCCATAATATTAGATAATGTATGTAAATCTCACTCTTTTGAAATTTCATCCGGAAGGAAGACAACTGTTCGAAAGTATAGAGATTCCTTGAAAACTGTCCCGAAAAAGTATTCTGTTGCTGATAATCAAGAAGCCAACAAGATTCTAGGAAATGTTGGTACGCTCAGGTAAGCAATTAGTTACAGTGTTATTTCTTCAAAGTTTTAAAACGAACGATTCATTTCATTTAAATTAAGAAAACAGAAACTTCCAATGACGGTTTCTTTAAACGGTAACTGGTGTACAGGGTATTCCATTTTTTTTGTGAAATTAAAGATCCCATCAGTAGAGTTTTCATATTCTGTTCGGTTTTTGAGGTACAAACTTGAATTGTAAAATATCACCTTTTGAGCACCCCCATCTTAATTATCAAATAACTGGCATTATAATGGGATCATGGAAAATTTTCCATCAGTTTTGGAACAACATCTTCAAGGATTTTTCGGTAACGACGTGTTGTGTAACGTCCTTTAAAAATACTGTAGACTATGCCCCTTCCAAAAATGAACCATGAGACCCCAATTTTCTGCGGACCAATTTCTTGTATTATGACGATTGAAAGTACCCGCACTTGAAGAATAAGATTAATAGAATAGACGACGTATCTGCCAAATGATTCATTAGTTAATGGATCTGTTGTAAAACAAGAGTGGAAATGTTGAATGACATTTTGTATATAACTATATACGTATATATATAATAATGATTGTGCATATATATATTTTTGAAAAGCCTACATTATACCTAATAACCTTACAAATAATATAGGGAGTGTTCCATTTAAAGAAACATATAATTGCACCGCAACTAAAAAGCAACAAGTGCTAAAAAGAATATAACTACGCCGCTGGATTCTGCGAAGAGAAAATCTATACGAATACGTTTTAGCTTCTTTTATAACTTTAAAGAAAACTGAGTTACCGGGGGAGGTGCCTCAAAACTGCTACGAAACCAATAACCCTATATCTTTTAAAATAAGGATGAAAGGTACCCCGTTAAAGTGTCCAAAATGGGATACCCTGTACATATTTATTCCTTATGACTATATGATCTTCCAATCATTTATTGCTTCTTACATAGGTATTTATATGAATTTATTTAAAAGGTATCGTTGTCCTTTTTAATTTCAAAAACGAAAATAAAATGTATTATAGTTTCCTTTTGAATGCTACACAGTGCGACGTATTGGGAAAAAGTGGAAATAATGTTTTTAATATTATTAATTAAGCACCTATAGAAACCTTACTCCTTAGTTTTAGTCATCTGCTATTGCTTTAATTACTGAGTACGGTATTGTTTGCATTTTTCATAATGTAACAAAAGTATAACAAAGTATATGAATTTTATGTGTATTCTACAACTAGCTGCAATTCGCGTCTTTGTCTGTCACAGGGGAATAATGGAAAGTATTGCATCCGCAGGGAACAACAACGCCGCTTGCAGTCTCAGTACTGAGCTAGCGATATTATTTTACATTCATTTATATATAGATATACAGGGTGTCATTAGAATATTTCGGAAACTACTTCGATTTAATATTTGTAAAATGGTATGTTCAAATGGAATACCCGGTTTTCATAGCCTTATGCAAAATTCTATTCCCTTTCGAATGGTACTATGGTTTTCTATATCCATCTCCTCTAATTTTTAAAATATTTACTGTTCCCTGATAAAGCAACCAAACCGATTAATTTTTTACGAAGATTGCTTTATTGTCAATTATTGAGTACTCTTGTTATTAAGAATGTAAAATCAATATTCGTAATTTTAAGAAATCAATTGCAATACAGTTGACTACAGATAACAATAGTAAAAAGAGCAAATAAACAATCATCATTATTATAAGGTCATCAGTCCTAAGACTGGTTGAGCACGCATCTCCACTCTTTCCTATTCTGAGCTTATCTTCGCATTTCCCTAAAACTAGAACAGCCCACTTCGTTAACTATTTGCGAACAGTAATCTAATCTATTTCTACCTCTACTCCTCTTAACTTCTATTTCTGCCTCTGATAGTTATGTCTCACTAGCCCTTCATGCCTGAGAAGGTGTCTTACCAACCTATCTCGACTATTTTTTATTGACTTCCATAGAGTCCTCTGTTCTCCTATTCTTTCTAAAATCTCCAATTACCTTTAAGCATTTGTTTACCTTTTCGATAAACTCATGTGTAACAGCTCAAACCATTACTCTAATATTATCAGCTGATATCGTTAATTGTTTAAGATAATTTACTATCTACTTCCTGTTTGTACTATTGTTATCTGTAGTCTACTGTATTGCAATTGATTTCTTAAAATTCTTGACAATTTGAATGCGAATCTTTATTTTCCATTCTTAATAATAATATTTAATAGTTGACACTGAGAATTAAAATATTCAATTGCTAAACTGTCAGTGTGGTTGTATGAGTGACTACAAGTAACTTAATTTTTGTTTTGGAGTTCAGTTAAGAATTTCGCAGTCATCCTCATCAAAAATTTAAGGATTTTAGTTGCTTTTAGAAAGAGAAGTAAATATTTTAGAAATTGGTATTTGAAATCATAGTACCATTCGAAGGGGAATAAAATTCTGCATGTGGTTATGGAAATATATACATGATGTTCAATTGGAAAAAATGGACTTACAATCAAATTATTATAAATGTGGAAACCTTTACCATTACCTAACCTTATTTAACTTTAACTTTAACTTTAACTAGCAAATTTAGAAGAATAATAATCTCACTTAGAATCATTGCAACACATTGGGAGTCACAGGGCGAATTTGGGGACTATAGTTGCAGTAATTGCACAAAACGGTGCCTAAAGTACAATAAGTGTATGATAAAGCACTGCAAATTGCCTAAAACTCAACGCCAAAATTACGACACTAAGCGTCCGAAGTACTTTTCGGTTTTTCCAGCACTAAAAACCGAAGGCTGGTTAAATATTAACCTACTTTACGATCCAGTGAACAAAACTCAAAGTGTTACTGCAATGCTCAGTGGACGTTACAACACAATAACAAGACAAAAAGTACTTGCCCCGCCATCTCTAGTTGTGTCAGATATATCAAATCGCTCGCTTCTTAGATGTATATGTCTTAATGCACTGAGGACCTGTAGTAGTAAGCAGCCATGTCATTACAGCTACCGAATACTGGAGGGAAATATGGCGTAGATTTCGTGTCGTGTTTTTGCTTAACGTCGGGGTTGATCGTAGATGTGATTTGTAGGACCAACAAATGTGCAGTTTAATTGTTATTCATTGGTTGCTTCTCCTTCCTTCTGAAAAAATACTGTTTTTCAGCTAACCACTTTATATATACAATTTGCAATATAGAAATAAAATAAAATTAAACATTGGTTGCGCCTAGGAGATAAAATACTTTGTATCATGTATAGATAAAAGAAACATGAACTCTTCGAATGCAGAAAATGGTGTGGCGTTGTCATTATTTTAAAAGTGCTTTTAATTAAGAAGCAGGGGTTGTAACTTTTGGCTTTATAAAAATTACAAGATCCATAAGTATCGAGGTGTAAAACATACGCAGAAACAATAAGAAACGGGATAGAGGAGCAGATTACAAAAAACAAAGTAGTAAGTAAAGAGCAATTCGACTTCAGAAATGGAAGGGGGGTCGGTAGACGCGAATTATACGATAGAAAATATGATGCAATGGCAATAGGAAAACAAAAAGAGTTTATATATTATTTGTGGTTTTGAAAATAACATACAAAGTTTAGGTTAACAGAGTGGAAATGGTTAATACGCTAATAAACGAAATGGCTAAGACAATTATTGGAAGAAGTTATGTAAGGATGACTGGGGAAGAAACCATTCGTTATTCAATGTGATAATAAGAGTGGAGTGGAAATATAATGATGAGAGGAAAAGAAACAAAAAGAGGTTTATATAAAATATATTATCGCATGTATGTAGGTAACAAGGTAACCTAACATACAGTGTCACGTGTAGGCAATCTAATGTACATAGTGACAAAGAAAAGCAATTCAATTTGTCAGATTGAATTTGTAAGTAAAAATTCTCTTGATCGTTTACACACATTTGTGGTCATGTGAATTTCCAAAAAGTACTATGTCGTATAAATAGACAAAACATAGTTTACATTATCCATAGATTTTTATTATTTTTTGTAAGTGATTTTTCATCATCATACAACTTTTCAACCATTTTCAATAATCAAATTCAAAGAGGAATTTTGTGAAATTTGCAAGAAATAATTACGCCTTATCACAAACTTCATTACAAAATTATCTCAGAAATAAAGGTCATTTAATAATTACAACTATTTTGCTAATTGGATAATTGATACTTAATCAGTAATTACTTTTTAATGACCGTCTGGTCAAAAGAACATTAGCCTACCTGACTAAAGATAAACGTGATCTTGGTTAGGTTGTTTGGTGCTCACTTCATTAATTAGCACTTGATATTCATCTTATTAGATTTATATTGATATCGTTTTATTTTTCCGACGTGGATTTATTGAAAATACTAAACAACGATCGTGTTTTGACAGACCGATCCTTTTTAACTTAGTTTCTTGGTAGTTCGTTGGTAAGTAAACAAAATGCTCATTTTCCGTCATTTTTAAATCGTGATAGGTAGAAACCCGCGGTGTGTACAAAAAACTTTCTTTTTTTGTACCCTTTTCAATTATATACTAGAAGTGGACGGTTGCTATTTAGAAAAAAAAATTGGTGGGGCAGAATTTGGACTCCTATAAAAGATAGTTTCGTATTCCTATCAACAGCTATTCAAAAGTTATTCATGCAAATGTTTGTCTTAATTTTTATGGAATCCATTAAAATGGTCTAACATTTGTTGCGAGGATTTGGGACATCCCAACAAAACTCAATCACCTTAACTATCCGTTTAAATTGATATCAAAATATATTTAAATCAATGGAATTGAAGTGGCAGACAAGCATCATTTACATAAGCTCAAGGAATTAAGATTAGTAACGGGAACATCATCAGTAAACATGAAATAACAAAAGTGATGTGTGTGGTACAAAGCCCGACTTGGTAAAACCGTGCACCAACGAAATGCTTTGACTATGCTCGTGTATGTTTATCTTGACTAGGGAGTGTAAGTGTTACGAAGTGGGACTGGAACTGTTA